TCAACATGACTTCAATATCATTAACAATGTATATTAAACTTTTATGTACAACAATGGTTATTATCTATGTTTGTCAGTGTAAAGTATGAGATCATGATAATCCAAAATGTTTGGATTAACCTAGTCCGTGTTTTGAAAACTAGACTAGACTATGGCTACACCATGAACTGGACACCAATCTGATCCAGTTTGCTAGCCAAACTTATTTTTTTACCCGGCCAAATCCGTCAGACGCAACGAATAGTGTGACTCGGGTCGGCCTGGTTGAGTCGCAAGTTTGGATCTAAAACTTTTTTTTAAAAATTTTAAGTCTTACAAGTAAAGTGGAGGCAAGGACGATTGAACCTACAACCTATGAAAACTCAACGCATGACTCTTACCACGAGTGCTCCTATGGTATACCTTAGGTGCATCCCATTTTTGTGAGCCTTCTCACATAAAAAATTATTAAAAATATATTATGAAATTCTAAATTATTTCAAAGATAAAAGCATTATTTATTTTTTGTTGAAAAGTAAATATAAATAATTCATATCTAAAATATCATTTTTTAAAATTTAGTGTAGATCAATATTTACGAAAATTTTTAATATGCTACAAAAGAAATATATGTATGTAGTACTATAAAACCACCAATATTACATATATAAATAGCACTCCTTTAGTTTTTTGACTTAAATGGGAATTCCAGCGTGAAGGCATTCCAATTATACCCTCTTAATAAAGTTTTTGACTTCCTTAGTTTAAGGGTTGAGTAATTCTTTTCCGTGAATGTAGCAATTACGTTTTATGCATTCTTTACACAGTTGTGCCACTCAAACTCTCTGTGACGGCAATGGTAACTATGTGACTGAGGTGGTGGTGATCGTGATGGCAGTGTGGTAATGACAATGATAATTTGACGGGATAGTGGCCATGAGGTTGCAGGGTTGGAAGTATGGTGGGGGTGGTAGTGTGGTGGTGGTGATGATGATAGTGTGGCGGCGGGGACGGGGAGGCAGTGTGGTGGTGGTTCAGACAGTGTGGTGGCGGAGGATTGTAGTGCGGTGGAGACAGTGATGTTGTTCGTAATAGTGTGACAACAACGGTGATGGTGGCAGTATAACGAGGGTGGCAGTGTAGCGAGGGTGGCAGTGTGGTGGTTATGGTGGTGGCAATTATAACAGTGTGCGGGCGGCAGGAGGAAGTGTGACAACGCAGGAAGACATTGTGAAGGTTGTGCAGTGTGGGGGCGAATGGTTGCAGTGTGATGGTGATGATGGCAATGTGGTGGCGGTGGTGGCAGGGAGGCAATGTGGTGGGGGAGGGAGGTAGTGGCCTGGTGGCACCAGGGGGAGGCAGTGTGGCCGCAAGGGAAGATAATGTGGTAACCCAAATATATATAATCTTGAGAAATTAAAAAAAGCGTAGAATGGGCGTATTAAAGATGATGATGCCACACTGGATACTCATATTGATGTCAAAAATATCACAGCAGTGCTAGATAGGTAATTTTAACTAATTATAGTGCTATATAGGAAAATCTCTCATGCTACAATTTTTTTAATGAACTAAATATAAGTCTAAAATGTTATGTAGTATATAATATTCTCTCCGTCCCTCATAGATCGTCACAAATACTATTTATATGATCAAACTTAAGTCACTTTGTTGGCTACTTTTACTACTCATTTAAAAAAATAATATAGTCTTAACACCTCTTATTTTGTAAAATTTTTAGCGTAGTTTTTTACTATGTAAATTTTGTTTTAAAATTTCATACTTACAATAAAATAAATTGAATTGAAAATAAATTTTGTTCAATAATACTCCATTTGTCCCCAATTTGATTACAAATTGAGTTTTACGAGGAGAATTGTCTCATTTTTTGAAATCATTTTATTTACAAATCGATATATCAATAAGAAATAAAAATTATATATTAAAAAATTACTTCAAAAGTTCGACAAAACAAGAGGTGACAAGAATAATTTATTTTATCAAATGCTTAATGAAATCGTGTAAACAAATAAAAGTTATCGAAAGGAGAGAGAAAAAAATTGTAATCAAATTGGGGATAGAGGGAGTATAATACTCCTTCCATCCCTATTTTGATTATAAATTGCGGAAAACGAATTTTTTTAATTTTTTCAATTCATTTTATTTAAAGATTGAGACATAAGTAAAAATAAAATTTACATGTTTAAAAATAACATAAAAAATTTTATAAAACAAGAGGTGACAAAAATATTTTATGTTATCAAATAATAAATAAAAATATTGTAACGCCACAAAATATGGCCTAAAATTTATTATAAAACAAAAGTAATTTTTGTCCAATAAGAAATATTTATACGTTTGACCAAAAATAAAAGGATTTCAAAATAATGACTTTTTGTTTAAAACTTATTTTTTTTTATGGATATGTCTCGAAAAGACGAATCCAACAGTACATTTTATAAACCAATCTGATTTATAGATTTCAAGTTATGTCAATTTTAAATATTAAAATTTGTAACTTTGAAAAATAAAATAAACTCAATTCAAAAGTGATTTCATAAGATTAGAAATCATAATTTTGACCCTTGACAACATCATATTAATCATTTGGATTTAATTCATATATTTTTATCTCATTCATATTATTAAATTGATTTATGACTAAGACAGACCTGAACACTGAGATAAATAAAAGTTCTCAGCAAAATATTTTGATTTCGTCACAATTCTAGTTTTGACAGTTTCATTCCAAAAAAACAATCCGTCTACAATTCGGAACAGTTTAGGCGAAAAAGCGCGTACCGATTTAGCCAGTTTATCAGTTACGGAGTAGGAGAATATTTTAATTCCCCAAAATCTCCCAATTACGCAGCCATATCCCCAAGAGTATCAATTAGCCACCCTAGGGAATGCCTAGGAAAATCCACTAAGTTAATAGTTCCAATTCTCCTTTTATAATGCTCCAAATTTCTTCTCCACTTTGTCAACTCTACACTTCATAAACATCCATCATCTCTCTTCATCCTCTCTCTCTGTCGGCCAAGCTTCAAGGAAGGAAAAAGGAGACTCAAAACTCCATTGTTGAGCCAAGGGAAGAAGAAGGAGCAAGAAGAAATATCAAAGTTTTCCAAAATCCTGAGCATAAGACAATCAGTCCACTTGTGAGTCAATTCTGAAATTTTCCGTTCATTTTCTCAATATGTTTATTATACAAAAGTTGTAGCCCCGGACGTTACGAATCCAACCCAACAAACGGCTCGCGATTTCGTTAAGTAACGAAGAAGATATGACCAAAATACCGGGACTGCGCCAGTGGTGGCGAGCTCCTCGGGTTGGCATGTTTTTCTTCACCAAATTCATATTATTTCATCCCAAATACTTACCATAAACTCTCTAACAATTATTAGGAACATCCGGAAGGTATTGTAAAGAAGGTTCGGCGTTGGAATGTTGAAGTTAGTGAGTTAATCGTCGGAATCATGTTCATCGACATACCTGAAATTCTGGACAGCAACTATCCCTTGACTTCATGTCCGATTTACGCTATCTTACATATGCTAAAACGAAATACTTTCTGTACGAAAGTTGTAGCCTTACGTCTTAGGAATCCACAGAATCAAACGGTTTGCGATTCCGTGAAGAAACGATGGAGATATGCCCAAAATACGGCAGGCTGTCCGATTATGACGGAAATGACAAAGTTGGCAAATTTCGATGTTGTTTCCACTCCCGCTCATCCGTGAGGTTTTGGCCATTTAATTCCAGGTCTGTACCTTTGCGTTAGACTTGTCGAATCATTCATCACATACGTACATGAATATATATGTTAATCCATATGTTGAAATCATCCCAAAATATATATGTGATACATATATTAGTCATCTTTGTGTTAAGACCAAAATATACCTAATCCATAAAGTTAATATATATATATATATATACATAAGTATATATAAACATTTGAGATCAACCTAAAAATATATATATTAGTCAAAGGTGTTTAAAAGACTTAAAGAGGTATTTTGGACACTCAAAATATCAAGAGTAAGATTTGCAGACCCAAACGGTCGACGGAAATGGTCGATCGTCGCGTTAAACATCGAAACGGACCATGACTGTTAGCCAAACGGTCGACCGCCGGTGGCTAACGGTCGACCGCCGCCCGTCCAGCCGAAGTCCGCCATCCGTAGCCAGTCAACAACAGTCGACCGCCGGTCAACCGTCACGGTGATCCACCAGCCCGATACAATGAAGATCAAGGTCGACCGCCTTGCCAAACGGTCGACCGTTGCGAGCCCCATAGCTTATTTAAATGATATTTTTATCATTATTTCACCCAAGTAAATTAATCTATGATTACATATCCATATTGTTTACAAATTGTTCATATCATATGATTCATTTTATCATCCATATTGAAGCATATCGCATCATGTGCATGCGTAAGAGTTCATGCCTTGTGCGTCTCTTATAGCGTGGTTGTGCGGGACTTAGCAGTCCGACAACCCTGACCGGGCTTAGTGTACGTACATGGTATTCAGACTTTCGAGTACCACCCCTATTTTTCTAGTCTCCCTCGTGAGACTAAGAAGGACATGAGTTCGTCGTACCAAATGGGCGAATCTCATAGTTGCAAGGTCATTCCTTGTTGACTTAGAATCATACAGCATGAAGTCATCATCAAGTAAAATCATCATGACTATGTGTGACATCAATTACGCATCATGTAATTATCATCAAGAACAAGTATATTGATTACATAAGTATCATGTAATCATCCTCACAAGCAAACTGATTAAATGTGCCATCATGTAATTATCATTAAATATTTATCATCATGATTCATCAAAATTGTCCATATGATATAATGTGCCATATTATGAATATTATTATACATCTTATGGACATATATATATGTATATGTATATGTCTGTGAATCATTCTACAATTCTAGCGTGGTACCACTCAGCGGTTTCGCTGAGCGTGTAGTTTGTATTTTTCGTTGACTACACGTAGGTAACAAGAAGACAATGATGGAACCATTCTCGGAGGGCATTGAGTCAGAGGAGATGCAAGGATGGCAGGCAAATGTTTGGTCATCAGATTTTAAATGTGTCATGATTTGATTATTATTGTACTTCCGCATTACTCTGAAAATATTTTTTTAAATGGGTCGCGATCCAGAGTCTGTAAATTTGATATTTATAAGTAATTGTCATTTTCAAATGTCAAGCGAAATTTTTATTTAACTCCCGTTTCACCTTAATTCGTGTAATTCCGGGTTATACGGATTGGGGTGTTACAAATATACAAATAAATAAAAATTATTGTGATTTTGGAATAGTAAATATGGTAATAGGATGGAGGGAGTAATATTTTGATTATACTTGATGATGATGTACCGTCTTCCATTCTTGGGAGTTCTGAACTCTGATAAAAGTGATAAGGTAGTGAAGGAACGCTTCAGAGATCACTGAATAATCTGAAATCATTCGTCAGAATCAAATATGGCTTCACCATCACCAGATCCTATGGACGATGGCAGCTTCAGAGCAAGAGTTCACAAAGTTTTCAGCTCGCTATCTTCGTCACCGTTGCCAATCTCGGCGGTGTCGAAGCCGCTGTGGTCTCTCACAGACGACGAGGTGGAGAAGCGAGATTGGAATCGAAGTAAATCAAAACTCGGCCAAGACGACGACAACACCATCTGTTCCTCGTCGTTCGATGGTTTGTTCAAGCGAAATCGCGGCGGTCGTCCAAAAGGGTTCGGTGACATGGATTGTGTCACTGGCGACGGCGACGGTGACAAGGAAGGGTTCGATGACGACCTCGAAGATCTCAGCGGAGAGGAAGACGGTGACCGTACAGATTTTAGGGAAATCAGATCCTCCGTAGGGTTGGATTCAACTCTCGATTATGAGGTACTCTCTATTCCTTCTACAGCTTTATTTTTCCCTCAATTCATCTTGTAGGTATAAAATTGTCATTTTGAGGAAGGTGATGATTGGTATAACTGTACCTTTGGTTAGGATTAATATATTGGCTTCACAGTTCATATCCTGCTTATCTTACTGCAAATGATATACCACTAAGGCATAACTTTGACTGGAAAATGAAATTGCAATTTTAGAGGCTTTCACATTCATGCATTTTTAGTTTGTGCATTGTAGATGATCTTAGACGACTCTGCCACGGTAATGCAATATCAATTTGAATTCTTCTTGGTCGAGCATAAAATGGCTTAATAATCTAGTTTTGAACTGTAGTCGTAGTGGCCATTGCTCTGGGAGTCTGGGAGCACTACTTAGGTATTGGGTTTAAACTCTCAATTCTTAAGGGAGGTTGGAAGTTTAAGCATAATTTGGTTGCCAAAAAGAGGACTGCGCTCCAATCCTGGGCGCCCGTGCAAGCATGTCCCTTAGCTTTGGCAGAGGAGGTACACTGGGGGTTAGTCATAGGTCCGTGGAAGCAGGGGGGAAACATAGCCAACTAGTGCCCACAAAGGGCTGAGATCCATGCCATATTCAGGAAACCATCCCATACCCTACGGCTGCCCAGCACGGCAATCAGGTTAACCTTAACCATTTTAAGTTTGGCTTTACACCTACTGAACTACACCTTATGGGGGCCGTAATTTGGTTACCAAGTAGTACATTATGGTGCATTTGCTTTAAAGGAGAAAGTAGCTCTTTGCCTTTTTCAATTGTTTATTGGCTGTATTCACACTATTGATATCATTTTTTTTTAATTTCTGAAGGAGGAAGAAGATGAATTTGACCGGTTTGCTGAGGGGAATGGGAAGACCAGTAATTGCTTCCGTAAAGATCCTCGTGCAGATCAACATGCTGCTCAAATTAGGCTGAGGGAGGATGATGTCGAGGCATCAAAACACAAACCGAATCATCCTAAAACTGAGCCGAGTGGCGAAAACCGTGAGGGCACATCAATTTCCGTTGATTGTTCTAATGTGAAACCAATATTGAAAAGGAAAGACAATTCTGAGGGGAAGTCCAGGAAACGAGTTAGATTTGATCCAAGTTTTGTGGATGAATCAGATGAATACCCACAAGCAAGACCACTGGTGTCTTTTGAGGTTTCTTCAACGAGTTCATCTGATGGAAATAAACCCAAGGTTCCTGATCATCTTATCAATCCTTCAAAATACACCCGCTACAGTTTGGATTCGTGTAGTGAGATTGATAACGAGTCCAACAATCAAGTGTGTAAGTATGTGCTTGAGGAGGTGAACAAATGGACACAAAATCGGAAACCAGGGGCTTCATCCAATGCACTTCCTCAATCGATAAGTTTTGTTCCCAAGAAATCAAGCAGTTCTGTAGTAATGGAGGATGTTCGTGAAGATGCTTCTAAAGTTAGTCAGAACCAACAGAGCTTTCCGGTACCCATTGCTGCTTGGGAGGAACATGAAAGCGAAACAACAGAAGAAGATGATAGGGAAATGGAGGATGGAGACGGTAATGGTGTTTGTAAACCTGATCGCCATTACCGAAGCAAGTCAAGGTTGGAAAATCATCTCACTTAAAAGCTTCCTTAATGGTGTTCTCACAATATTAATGTCGTTTGGAAAAGAATGCCGAGTCTACTTCAACTCGGGGATGTTCCAAATCGTCCATGTTTCTCCTTTTGTATGCATTTGTGTGCTTACTTTGTGTTAATATCACTATATCATGACATGTGTTTTTATATTTTGGATATGTGAGGGGGCCTATGGTTTTTTATGTGAGTACGATTGTACAAAATCATGTGAAAAACACTCCCACCCACACACACACACATAGGGACGTAAATGAATCGAATATTTTTTTGTTCGATTCGTGATTCGTATTCGTTTAAGGTGATTCGTATTCAATTTTTTCAAATCCGAATACGAATACGAATCTGAATAAATATTCGAATCCTTATCGAATACAAATATGAATCAAGGGTATTCGATTCGTGAGTTTGACAAATATATTCGGAATATAAATCTAATTATATAAATTTTATATATATATGTGTGTGTGTGTGTGTATATATATATGTATGTATGTATGTATGTATGTATGTATGTATGTATATGTATATGTATATGTATATGTATATGTATATGTATATGTATATGTATATGTATATGTATATGTATATGTATATGTATATGTATATGTATATGTATATGTATATGTATATGTATATGTATATGTATATGTATATGTATATGTATATGTATATGTATATGTATATGTATATGTGTATGTATATGTATATGTATATGTATATG